TCATAATGGATTAAATTTTCAATTAAACCTCAAATCTTTAAATTGTTAATTTGAAGAGTCAACAATTTGGGTTATAATATTTAAATATTTATTCCCCATAATATTTAGCTGATCTACAACATAATTCCCAATTTGGGGAAATTTCAGTTTACAATTTAGAAGCAGAATATTTTACCCTCCAAAATGGTATTTCATTGGTCCATACATTCAAAGGAATTTTCTTTATATATTTTCTCCATTTTTCTATTGCATCATAAAATAAAAAGTCAATAAAATGATTTACAATTTCTGTCTTTCTACTCCTATATCCAATACCAATGTCAGGCTTCTGTGCCAATGCTTCTTCTGATCTATCAGAATTTTCCTATATTCCTGAATTCAGATAATAGCACAGTGGAAGTTCTGAATATTTAAAAAGCTCCAAAGTCACAATGAATAAAACTCTAAAGTGTCAGTTTGAGATACCTTTGTCGGAATAACCTTTTTGAAAGAGTAACCTTCAATAAGGCTTTTTTAATTGAAGAAAATTCTCAAAAATATTGCCCCAAAAGTCTAGTTCTTAAATTGCCTTGTAGCTTCACAATTAGCAGTCCCCAGGTGTTTGTCTTTCTCCAGAAGGACATGTTCTTACCACTTACACAGATTAGGCATGGAGACTGTTTTTCTAATTGTAAATTTGTCCTGTGCAAGAGGAACTGCATAAATGGTGGAAGGAGAGAAGGGGAGAAAAGTAAAAAAGCAAAGGAAGAAAGAGGAAACAAAGCACCATATATAACATATAAAAAGAAATTTCAGGGACCAGGGATGTAACACAGTAGTCTCTATCCAGTTTGCTGAAGATCCTGGATCCAATCCCTAACACAACAAGGGAGAAAAAGACTTTTCTTACCTACCTGTCCATTAGGAATCCACAGTCCACCGTAAGTGAATACATGAAAATTTAGAATTCATAAGTAACAGAAGCCAGAATAATTGTCACAGAGTCTAGTAAACAAGCTCTCTAGCAAGAAGTTAATAATATCACTAAAAGCCTCCACCCAAGGCTCCAACACATATCTAACAGTATATCCAATACTAAAAATAAGAATTCAGGACTGGCAGAATAGCTCAGTGGAAGAGTATTTGCCTAGCATGTAAAAGGACCTGGGGTTGATTACCACCACAATCAAGCAATTAATAAATAAAAGATAACATACTATTGATATCTATAAACCAATTCGGTCTACTCTGTAAAAACTAATATGATGTGAAAATATGAGCAATACCCTTTAGGACAGCAGGTTTTTTCGTATTGTCTTTGGGCAGGGGGGTACTGTGTATTGAAATCAGGGCGCAAGCACTCTACCACTGAGCTACATCCCCAGCCCAGAAGAGCAGGTTTTTATTAAAGAATCATGGTGCATGTACATACTAAGGTGTGTTTTAGGTAGATTATAAATGCTATTTGATTTTTCTAACAGCATATTGAACTACTAAATAACCTGAAAATTTTCACCCTGTTCCAGAAATATGTAATTTAAAATCATATACTATATATTATTTGTTTTGTTTCATTGAGACAGGGTCTCACTACATAGTCCAGATTGACCTTGAGCTTGCTTATGTAACCCAGGCTGGCCTCAAACTCATGGTAATCCTTCAGATGTTTACCACCATGTTCAACTATCATGTATCATTTTCTTAAATCTTGAAGCCATTTAATTGCCTCAATTAGCAAGAGCTTCATACAGAAGCATATTTAAAGAACTATGTAAACCTCTTTATGCTTAACTCTTCTGAACATGCACATAAAATTCTGACTTACCATGTTTTTACTACAGGTTATTTGTAAAATAGTATAGACTTTACTCCCAGTTCTATAAACAGCTGGTTCAGAAGAAGATTATTCTATGTAGCTAACCAGTTTAAAAATAATTTTCTTGAGTTGGGGATTTAGTTCAGTGGCATAAGCACCTATCTGGCAAGGGCCAGGTTGAGTTCCATCCCCAGTACCACCAAAAAAAAAAAAAAAAATTCTTGGAGTTTTTATTAACTTACTTCAGAAAACCTCCTAACAGACCTAAGAGTGGCCTGGTTTTCCACTGTGCCACCAAATATGTTTCTTTGTATTTCATACCAACCATCTCCAATTGCAGACATTTTATAATTGGTAAAAGTAACAATATATTATCTTTACTAATGCAGTCATGTGTTGTTGATTATTTAGAGAAAGTATCAAAACTCATTTTTAAATAGCTGTAAGATGTAATGTTTCAAACATATAGGGTTTGATAGTACATAAAGACATTTTATAACAAACATTAAACTTTTTAATGTTCTCATATGTGTTCTTTTAATTTAGAAGGAATAAACCTCAATGAGGAAAAACCTTCAAGGTACAAGAACAATTTCTCTGTACATTAACAATTTCTCTAGCAACAATTTTGATAATAAATCAAATTTACTCTTTTCTAAATATTCTGAAGAGATCCTGCAATACATTAAGGAAACAAAATTCTTATTAGCACCTCAAAAATACAATGAGGAACATGAGATTTAAAATTGAATAAAAATTCATTGATAATCTTCACCATTAATATTTTTCATATACAATTATTCAAAATTCAAAAAAATTACTGTTTGACTAGGGTTCGTATATGGGAAATGTTTTTCACATTACTCTGGATCTTTAATACTACATGCTTACCAATAGTGCACTACAGATACAGGGAGAAAACAAAACAAAAACATTCCAGAAATGTAGACAATATGTCAAAGTCAAAAAAAAAAATGCACTGCATAAAGTCACTACCAAAAGGAAGGTACTCACCTGAAAAAAGTATCTGTAATGTATAACTGATATACACATATTGCGATTCATTCAAAAGCAATTTGAAATCTGTGGTAATTTTTAAGAGTAAATAATTTGGTTAAGTTTATTGACTATTAAAAGATTTCATAAACAATACAGGTACTTACTTAAAGAATATATTGGAATATGCATAGTCAGTCTTTGAAACAACTAAAGGGATGCTTAAATCAAATCCAAGTAATATGAAATACGTTCAAAACAAAGTCCTCAGGGAAAAAGTCTTAATATGCCATCAGGAAAAGTTATAAACAGGTAATTTTAAAACACTGTTATATTCCTTTGTATTGCATTTCTTCATAAGCCAGGCCATAAGTGTAGAAGATCAAATCTAAATTACATATAATATGGTGATCACTTAGCCTATGAGCTGCATTAAATTTCATAACGTAAGTAGAGTGCAATGATTCATATTAAGACCCAGCTATTTGGGAGACTAAGGCAGGGGGATGGCTTGAGCCCAAGGAGGCCAAGCTAAACAACATAACAAGACCCTATTTGAAAGAAAAGAGTGAGCTAAGGAGGGAATTCCATAATATATTCTGGACTGTGCTAAAAGGTGACACTCTGTATCTTAAAATTTATGTATATTACATTAAATTTCTAGAATATCAATTATCTCCCCATTTTAAAAGTGATTTAGTTTGTATATACATCTATTGTCCAGAAAGTAAATCTTTGTACTTAGTAAGTGCCCATTCACAAAGGGCGTAGAGTAGAAATCAAGCAGGGAAAAAAGTTTTTAAAAGTGTGAATTAGTTTAAGTGTATGAAACACACTGTGTGAAGTTCTGGGTACTGTGATGGGTATGCGTGCATGTACATAAATATGCACACAACACACAGAGAAAAAAGGCAATCAATATAAAATAACTACAAAAGATTATCAATTCTAATATAACATTTTTTAGAAATGGATAATTTTGGATGGGCAAGTGATTGCCCATGGTTAAGGACATCAGGGGGTGTGGCTACTACAAGGACAACACAAGAGATCCTTACAATGATGAAAGTGTTCTGCATCTTGACTATGATGACGATGGATGCACATGAAATAAGTTTGTATAGAATGAAAGACACACACACAAATGCAGCAACTGGGGGAACCTGAGTAATACCACTGAGTTTTTAATCAATAGCATCATCCTGGTTCTGACACACTGAAGTTTTGTAAGAGATTATCATTCACGTAAACTCTGTATTATTCCTTACAAATTCTTGTAAAACTAAATTATCTTAAACTTGTATTTTTAGGAAAATTGAACTTTCTCCATGTTGACTCTGTCACTCGCAAAAAACAAAAAAGAGAAAGAAGAAAAAGAAAAAAACACCCAATAAATAAACACCAAGAAACTAATAACAAGAAACCACCACATAGGTGCAATAATAATTCGCCTCCAACAAATCCAAAGTATACATGGGATCTAAATATTCTTGCTCTGTCAAAATGTAGTTTATTTTTAATGATGTGTTATGCTAGTTTTAAAGATCCTATCATAAATTGAAGATTTCTTGATAGCTACCTTACCGTTCAGATGATCGAACTGCCCTTAATTTAAAAAAAAAAAAAAAAAAAAGTGTAGAGAGAGTGAGGAGGATGGAAGGAAGAAACTGAGTTCAGACAGACGAGTAGAATGGAAACGACCTAAAGATTGCGCTAAAGCAGGTTTTATTTTTACCTACTTCGAATCTCTCGGAAAAGATTCAAGCACATCACATCCCTTTTACTAATCCAAGACAAGAAACTGTAAATGTGTCTGGAAATCTCTGCTGCGAGGAAACAGAAAGTGATCAAGGACAGGGTGACGAGCTCAGCACCCGATCAAAAGGGGCTGATTCCGGGAGATTCCTGAGTCCGCGCCCCGGTCCTGCTCTGCCTCACACCAGCCCGACGGCTCCGCCGAGGACCGAAGCGTAGCGTGCACCGAGAAGCTTCGTCCTGGCGACCCGACCCCCGCCGACCGGAAGCCGAGCGCCTCCCAGCCCCTGGAGGGCTGCGGAACTTCAGGTGCTGCCCCTACACTCGGCCGGCCCGGCCCAGCCCGAAAGGAGATACCGGGACTGGCGGACCAGGCTGGGGGCCCGGCCGTCGCAGGGTCTTGGGGGAAGGTGGGGGCTGAAGCAGGCTGGGCCGCGGTTCCAGCGAGACTCACCCACGTCCCGCAGCGACTCAAGTTCTGCGGTCCGCGCGCCCTAGAGCGCGGCTTCCTGGTCCGTCAGGCCCGGGGAGGGAGGTTCACCCGAGAAGGCCTAGCCGCCAGCCCGTCGGGCCCCGCCCGTCCTCCCGCTTCAGGCTCATGGCGCCCGCCCCCGACACAGGCACCGGCACCGGCCCGCTGAGGGGACGACGGTGGGCCGCAACTCTGGCGGTTTCCGTGCGCAGCGCGTCGCCGGCCGGCGGACCTGACAGAACTGGCGCGCGGCCGCTCGCGACTTGGCTGTCCGGGCGTGACGTCACTGGACGGCGGGCGAGGACGGCCAATCCCGGGGGCTCCGCGTGCGGGGCTTCCCGAGCCGCACTGCACGGCGCTGAGGGCCGGGACGGTTGGAAGTCCGCGGGGAGCCCCCAGCTCCCTGGGGTCGCGCGAGCTCCGTTGGTCACTAGAAATCTCATTCCCGACACTGTAGAACCTGACAAAAGGTCGCTGTCAATGCACCCTAAGAGTCAGTGTTGTCCTTTTCAATCCAAGTTTCTACATACCTAACGTCTGATTTCAAGACTCCTGGAAAGTCGCAACCACGTGCAGATACTTGATTACTTAAAAGTATTTCTTAAGCACTCCTAGAGAAGAACAGGGGAGGAAATTATAGGCTAAAAGTCCTCTCTGATGGTTCTTTCCTGACGACTATTATACTATTGCTGTTTCTTCATTTTTATGTTTTTTAAACCTTGTGTCTTTTTAAATTTAGGCTTCATTTTGCTTCTGAGTGGCACGTCCTAAAAAAGACCTTTTACCTAGAAAGCTACATATCTCTAGTTTATATAACCTGAATCTTTATCCAGTTTCAACAAAATATAAGTACTACACTTAGTCTACAAAATTTAAGTACTGTATTTAGTAGTGTACTTAGCTTCTCTTTGAAAACAGTATACCAAATATCTCAGTGACAACTGCCAACTTTAAATATTTCTCCATCAGAAACCCCAATTTCACCAGGTGTCAAATGGACAGATAGCCATGATAGGAAATCCTTGCTATCTCTTCTTCAGAAGAAAGAAGCATGCAAAGTCAACTGGTATACTTACATTTGCTTTACTTACATTTAAGATCTCACCTGTATCTGAGCTCTCTGATGAAGACCTATATTTTGTGGAGCCCCCAAATAGTAGAAGAATAGGTCAGCAATCAGTGAATGAAAGAAATGTGTTCAGTCAAATCTCTACTACCCCAGAATAGATATGTCTTTTGCTTAGTTTAGAAGGCACTGGTAATCAAATCTACTTAATTCTAAGCTATAAATTCACAATGACCCCTACATTTTCCTAAGAGAACCAGTCCTTGAAAAGTTTTGTGCTTCCCTCTTAGGGAAGCACTGAGTAAATAATTAAAATTACAAATAATTTTATTTTTTATTTCTTATTGCATTGTGAAAAAATTCCATTAAAATGATGAGATTCCATGTAGTTTGTCTTTAAACAATTCAAGCTCCTACCAAATACCCTTGCCATTTTTAGTAATTGCTTTACCAGTATTTTCTACTTTTAAAGTGTTGAACCTTTAATAGTGAAAATAATTAAACCTATAAGCAGACTATGGGAGGCTACCAAGTTTGAAAACTTAAGGTCAAATGGCATGGAATTATTTTAGACTACAGTGTCATTAGTAACAGTGTCCATGAGTTAAATCATATTCTTACAAATCTTATAATACTTAAATCATATTCTGACAAAACACGAAATAGGATGCCTACTTCAAATATTAAACTGGACATACCAAAAAGAAGTCAGATCTTTACTCTTCTAGCTTTCTTTTTTTTAAAGTCTTTTAAATTAAATGGAGAAATATAACAAATATCATAATACACATATAAATGAAAGTTGTTAATTTAAATATAAAATATGGCAGATTATTTTTACTGACAAGAAAACCAGTCTGTATATTCTGACTCACCTTCAATCCCCTTTGAAACAAAATACTACTGTTTCACAAAATTAAATGAATGCTCCATGATCACTTATATACTTTTAAACTAGTAGTTAATGAAAAAAGAAAGAACTGAGAGGTACTGTAGTTTTTCAAAATGATTGAAGGTTTTCCTTTTTAAATTACCAGTTGATTTTAGAGATAGACAATGTAACTGAAACATAAAAGTGTCCATCAGTTGAGAATGAAACATTATCAGAGCAACTTGCAAAAGTGTTTCCATGAAGTTTGCTTGGGACACTTTGAATTCTTTTGAAGAAAACTAATTATAACATAACTTCAAAATAATATTTTTGCTAAATTCCTGTACTTATAAAAATGACACTGAAAAGACAAGCCAGTTAAAATCCTGTTGTTTCCCTTTATTAACCTTACTTGAGAATTCAGAATTACCATGAGACTATTTGCTACACATACCTAAAGTTTTTGTGAATTTTTAACATACATATTTTTTCAGCACCTCACCGAATTTTAAAAATTAAAACTTTATAAATGTCAATTAGATATTAACATCCACATTTTTAAAACTTGTTGAGGTTCTTAAAGGCCATATATATTTCTCTATCAAGCCAAATAGGTATTAAATATCAATGTGTACTAAACACTTTGCTAATGGGAGAATGTGCCTATGTTGCAGTGCATGAAGTCCAGTAAGAGAAAGACATTGATTTATTCTGCAGTAGTATACTGCAATCTGCATTAATTCAACAAGCAGATAATTCCCACTGTTTTAAGGACTGTAACAGCTCTCTTGCTTAAAGACTTTGGATGCAAAGATGAGTGATTCAGAGTAAGGTAGATAAAAAGGTGAGAATAGCTAAATAAATAGCTATTCTCACTGAAATAATAAAAGACTTCTTATTTTTAACAAAAATGCATCTGAGGTTTATCTAGATATGAAATCTCAAAAAAAGAGTAAAAGATTATGTTAGCATTTTAAAGAATATTCAATCAATAATCATATGTAATTACTCAAGTCACGATAATATAGTCATCACTTTGTCCACATCAAATCTAAAATCACTGAAATAACTTCACGTGTACATACTTGAGTTGGAAATAAAGATATTACATATTCCCTAAATAAATTTGCAGAGTCCTATTATTTACAATGATAAAAAAGCAAACATGACTATCGTTAAGTGTCACACTGGAGGACAAAATGTCCAGGATTGTACATTCAGGTCTAAGCAGACCGTCCAGGTGTGACAGGGGAGACACTTCCACCAGGGAGGAGAAGATTGATACATCTATGCATGCGTTATGCTGTATCTTATTTCTTATTCTTTGCTTTTCAAATCTTTTAAAGCCAGCTCTACACATCTTAAACTTTGAAGTTCTTCTGCTCCTTTTCCGTGGTACGCAAAGGTGATCGAGATTTCGCCAGTCACAACTCTTCAAGCTGTATCTGAGCCTGGCTTCCTTTCCAGTCATTCAGGGGATGCAGAGATTGAGGGCATATTTGCACTCCCAGAGGAAACCCCTATAGGGCTCCAAGGTCATGATCTCACCCCTCAAAGTAGGCACAAAGTAACGCAGTGACCGGACGACCTAGACTCGACGCAGAGCTCATCAAGTCACACGTTGTCCAAGGCAGTGACATGCACTCAAACCCCCCAAGTTATTGCTGTTTAGTATCATGCGTGAACATCTCCTTTTGAAAGACTTGCGTGCGTTTCCTTGATTAAAAGTGTAAACACTGCCGACCCCGCCAGAGAGCAAACCCTCAGAGCGGCCCAGGGGCGCTCAGCACTCTCCGCACCCTGTGCAGCCTCCCACCCTTCTCACACCCTCGCGCACAGGTGCGTGATTCCCCCCCCCCCCCAGGTATTAACTTACAGCACCAGAGGCACGGGCCGGAAGGAAGGGCGTCCAGAGCGCCCCCGGGGCCCGCGAGGCCAGGCCAGAGCTGGGGGTCCCGAATGCCCACGAGGGCTCCGCAGTGTGCGCGCCTTTCAGTGTGGAGGGGCGCGGGCGTGTCTGCGGGGCTCGGGGCCCCGCCTGGCGTCGGGAGGGGGCGCGGCGGGGCGCTGGAGCGCGCCGAGGCCTCCGTCGTTTCGCTTCGGCTTGCTTCTGGGCCGCGAAGCCGCGCGGGGTCCGGGACAGAGGATCGTGGATCTCGCCGCGTCCCGGTCCGCTGCTCCGCCCCAGCCGGCTCTCCCGACGGCCGCAGAGCCGCGGAGTGGGGCGGCTTGGCACGAGGCGTCGGCCTCCGCAGTCAGCACCCGGCTCCCTAAGCCCCTGGGCACAGGCCGGATCCCCGAGAGCCGCTTTAGAACCGAGGCGGGGCGCTGCCCTCATCGCGCACCTGGGACCCTCTAACCTCCATCTCCTCCCCATTTTTTTCCTGTGTCGTTTATTTTCACTACTTCAAGTCCCAAGCCAGAAGGTCTTGTGCGTTGATTAACGTGGGGAGTATTTGTCTGCTCTGACTCCTGGAAATGACTGCACAGAGTAGGCTTGTAAATTTCTGAAACCTTTGAAATAAAAAGGTTTAGCCACTCTGCAAGTCGGCTCTCCCCACTGAAGTTATTGCCTCCGCTAAAACTAGGCTAAATCTGAAGTCATCTCAGTCTTACAAGGGGAGATGCTTGCATTGCAAGTTTCACCTCTTCTGGCATTTTCAATTTCTTTTTATATTTCAGGGGAAACTCCTGAAGGCCGCTATCTGAATTACTTTATGTCTTACTCCAGTAAGACTTAGCCCATATTTAATTTTTAGAGTGAAGAATAATGTTCTATTATATGAACACTATAAAAGACCAACTACCTATAAAGAAAATACTTTTTCCATCAGCAAGAGAGATTGACTCGGAAGGAAATTAACTATAAAATCATGTTTTTTCTTCTAGGAGTATCTTCATAAATCTAGGTGAAGACCTTGGAAGTTTACAAAGTTTGCACATACGTAAATAATTTCAGCATGTTTATGGCCATTTCTCAAACAAAAAAATTTACTAATAAACTTGCATCACTAAAGAAACATAATATGGGTAAAGTGAAATAAAGACTTTTTGTAGCACAATTGTATAGAAAAACATAGACTTTTAAAACTTTGTGCTAAAAATCACAGAATGCTTATGTATAGTGCTATAACATATGGCAAAAGTTTAAAAGGGATACCAAGTAACTGGTAGCAATTGTCTTTCTTTAAGAGGATGTTTCCTAATATGTATTGTGGACTTTGATAATCTAATAATCTTGTCTTTTCTGGTCTTCCTATAAAAGATGTACTGAGTATGTCAAAGTTCTTGGAGTGTGTTTTCCTAAATCTACATTAAAGTTTGCCAGTGTTATTCAATAATGAGCTTATAAGAGT